CGGAAAAGACACAAAGCTTCCGTCAAGTGAGTCATTTTGGGCATTGAAGGCCTATCTACGAGATAAACATATAGCTCAATTTGCACGATTTTTTTTTTCACATGGTCTGCTGATTCTGTACGCTATGCAGTTTTAATAAATAAATGCTAGACTATATTGTTATTGTAATAATCTGATACCATGTTGTCTTCGAATGTGTTGCACATGTTGAAAGATAATATGTGAGGTGAAAGATATGGCATGACTAAACGTTTTACATCTGTGCTTTTTACAGTTACTACGTGCAGTGACCCGAGCTTATCTCCAGAATCTCAAGACCCCCAGGACGATTATAAAGACTCTGAGACTGGACACATGTCGGACAAGGAGGTCTGCAACAACGAAAACGACGAGCAGAATCTGGGTGGCAAGCGTCGCGGGCCGCGCACTACTATCAAAGCCAAGCAGCTGGAGATTCTGAAAGCTGCTTTCGTCGCGACCCCTAAACCTACCAGACACATACGAGAGCAGCTGGCGCAGGAGACAGGCCTTAGTATGAGAGTAATTCAGGCAAGTATGCAAAAATCTATAAAAGTATAGCGCTTCGCGTTGTGCCTGAACACTCCCGTGGTCAAATAATTGCTTATTTAGGCTATTTTACTTGATGTAGGTAGTCATAAAATATTTTCGTTCGTGTAACCGATGTAGGCCTATTTGTTATTTGAATAAAACCAGTTAATTTAGACGTTAGCACATGATTTACCTGATAAAACATTTGACGTGCGGCCTCAAGTTCCCAATAGTTTTTAATTAACCCGCGGACAGAGCAATATTATAAAAAGCACCCATAAACAGATGCTTAAATATAAGTAATATGTAGAATATATGGCAGTCTCTTCAAGTGCATTACCTTAAACTCTACGCCTTTTTACGGTGCCCATGCAACTTGGCGCATAGAATGCATTTTATGCGTGGTCACGTGTGCGATGGCTATTTTACGGCGTCGTCCGCGACTCATCCAATCAGATTTTAGAGTCGGAACCATTCGTTTAATGCCAGTATTTACTACAACTTTTGAGTTTGGAACAGCCTGAAACAAGTAGCCTACATTAATTGCCTAGTGATAATAACTGCAATGACCATATATTTTAAAATTGTGTAGAATTAGGCCTAGTCCACTAGATAATGATGCAAATATGTGCCCTGTATATAACGTCTTTACAAAAAGACCCAATGAATTGCCTACTATTTTGACTACTGGGATTTTAAGTACTAAATGGAGAGAATTATGTGGCACAGTGGCAGGAATAAGTGATTTGGGCAACTGTATTTTAATTTGACGTATTGTTTCATGGATTATAGCGATATAGGCTATCTATATGCCCGCCTACTAGAGTTAAAAGTGTGATTTTTTAGGTTTCCCAGGTGCTGTCAAACGACAACGTTGCTCTAAATAATCTTTATCGGGGATTATTAATCTGGAAATGAATGTCCCATCGCGTTGGTGTATTTTCTGCTGTGCAGGTGTGGTTTCAGAATCGACGCTCTAAAGAGAGGCGCATGAAGCAGCTGAGCGCGCTGGGCTCCAGGAGACACATGTTCTTCCGCAGTCCGAGGAGAATGAGAGCGCTGGGCGATCGCATGGAACCTGGAGAGCTCATGGCCAATGGCACTTTCTCTTTTTATGGTGGTCAGTTCATCATGAATATTAATCAGAAAAAAATGAATCATAACTGAATGGTATACTAAAATATAGCATTTTTGGAATCTGCTTGCCGCATAAATTGAAAGTTACAATATCTCTAAATAACATTTAATTTAAATAAGCAATTGTCTGCACAATTGTTTATGTTTCCATGCTATGTTTCCATACACAAGTTACAACAAACAAACAAAAGACTTATGGCTGATCATTTATGCAGTTTATATATATATATATATATATATATATATATATATATATATTTTTTTATAATTTAATGTACGTATTATGCATTTTGTGCAACACATGTAAATATATGTATGCAAGTATGTATATAAATGCATATACGTGTTGCACAAAATACATATTTAAAAAAAACGATTAAGATTTAAGGCTGATCATACATATATTATCATATATATTTAAAACAATATATTCAACAATTAATGTTTCCATGTTTACAAAAGACAAAAATAAATAAATAAGCAAGCAAGCTTACATGTGTTGCACAAAACACATCAAAAAATAAGATTTAATGTTCTATTAATAGAAATATGAAAATACATACAAATATTAAGCAGTCCTAATGTATTGATGTTCAATGATTCGTTTTCACCCGTACAGCCCTACAAATTCAAAACACAGTAATTACATCAACATTGAACTGATTTCTCTTGACAAATGGGGAGTTACTGGAATTTACCTATGTGTGGAAGTGTGATAGGATGGGACAATTATTAAATTTCATGACACTCTCATTTTATTTTACAGACTATCAAGGTGAATACTATGGCCCGGGGTCAAACTACGACTACTTCCCTCAAGGTCCGCCATCCTACCAAGCCCAGACTCCAGGTGATCTAGGATTCATGCCCTCCTCTGGGCCAGCTGGAACCCCTCTAGGGAGCACGGACCACCATCACGGAGCACACCACCCCTCCAATGAGACACAATGCTTCAGTGAGATGATATCGCATCACCCAGGGGACTCCCCCAGCCCAGAGCCCAGCGCACCCGCCTCCATCCACAGTATCTCCACTGACATGTGTGACTCCACTCCACCCTTCACATCCCTGAACTCTCTCAGTGGCAACGGATACAGCAATCAACTGTCCTCAGAGATGAATGAGGGCACAGTTTGGTAGCAAACAACAGACTAATTCAGGACACAAAGATGTGGATATGTACTGTTCATGTGTGATTTTATAGCAACAATATTTCTATTTAGTTAATTTATTGACATAATCGTCTATTTATTTGTTCATTTGTTTACCTATTTATTTAATGTATTTATCTATTTAAGCAGCATTTGTGTATTTTGAAAGTGGAATGTCAAATATGGGTCGGCAGACCTTATAGCTGTGCTATAGACAACGACGGTATAAGAAAAGTTGAAACAGAATGTTTATATTTACAACACTTGGTGTGTCTGTTCACATGGGTATCATAATCTGATGACTCAGACCTCTTTGCCTTTCAAGGCTTTGCCATAATGACACTTTTGAAATCTCACACCAAAATCTTTCTCTGCTCTCCATGTGGTGGAGTGACGTTTTCATTATGAGTTCCACCAAATCTCAGAGCGTTTGCCTTTAAAAGGGAAACTTAAAATTGTTCAGACAAACCCTTTATTTGAAATGAAATATGACTAGAATCATAAGACAAAGTCTACCTTCTAAAAATGATTTCATATGGTCAGTGGACAGAGAGCAGTCAATTGTTTACGTATATTTTCTTCAGGGGTTTAAATATCAACAATGACTTAAAAAACCCTCTTGATACTGACACAAACTTTTTCTTCAAGCAAGAAACCAAAATTTTGTATGAATTCAGTTTATATTTGAGTTGTGATTCACTGTACTAGTTTGTATGATATTGTGTTTACACGAAGAATACACTAAACAAAACCATAAATACATGTTGACAAATGAAGCACAAATACATCAATTGCATTTGTTTTTTTGAAAACAACTCTACTGAAATCGGCTCATATGCATTAGTCTCTGAATTAGGGCTATCTGATAATCCTACAGTGTGGAATTTTATAATCTGTAATAAAACTGAAACATAAAAAACACCCAGCAGGGAGTCTCTGGAGAAAACACAGAGAGGGCATCGAGGCATTCTTAGCCAGTCCTCTATTTGAGGACTTGATAAATGTCAGTGTTAGGAGGTCCTCGATGCAAAATGTAACAATACAAAAATAATGATGTAACAAAGAAAAAAGCTGAGAACGTTCATAAAACTAAAAATTTCAAGTTATATTCCGGACATAATACAATTTGCAATTTATATAATAATGACGTTTACACAATTATCTAGTAATTACTTTATAAACACGTCAATGTGTCAGAAGAATATATTGTACATTTCAAAGTAAAATGAAACAACTATGCAGAGTACAAACAGACAACATAAAAACTGCACTCTTTAAAATGTTGAATTTTATTATATATCATCTAACCTTACATCACGTTTCCTTTAGGCTCATGGTTTTTATTTTTTTTAATTTTTTTTTATATAAATAGAGTTTCATACTGTAGTCTCTGTTCATAAAGGTGATAAAAAAAGAACATCAACTAAGAAAAAAACGTATCTTGCTTCTCTTCTCCAGACCCACAGTTTGATCACGCCATCTGCTAAATTTATCAAAACAATAAAAATGTGCGGTTGAATTCACTTAAAGGGGTCATATGATGCGATTTCAATTTTTCCTTTCTCTTTAGAGTGTTACAAGCTCTTGGTGCATAAAGAAGATCTGTAAAGTTGCAAAGACTAAAGTCTCAAATCCAAAGAGATATTCTTTATAAAAGTTAAGAGTCAACCACGCCTACCTAAAACGGCTCGTTCTAACACGCCCCCACATATCTACATCAAGATGTGGAAATATTAGCATAATGCCGCCCAAATGTGCACGCAAAGAAAGAAGGCGTGGTTTCAGGAACAGCAGTAGTGTTGATGCAGCCATGTCGGGGAGACACTGTGTGTTTCAGTGCGAAAGCAAAAGCACTTTATTTGGCCTTCCGGAAGTAGATGCAATTAGGAATCATTGGTTAAGATTTATTTACAACAGAACAGCACAAACCAGATGTTCGAATTTGCGGGGCATAGAGGACCTACAATAATGTACAGTAACTGAAAAATAATGTTTTTTTTTTTAACATTAAAGCATGTCAACATATTCTGTTACACCAAATACACAAAATAATGATCTTTAAAATAGCATCATATGACCCCTTTAACCTTCATCACTCTATTAAAGATATTCGATGAGAAAAGACAATCGAACTAGTACTGAGCATTGCATTTCTACACACGTTACGCGGCGCGCTCTGATGATGTCACGGGAGAGTAACAGCGTGGGGCAGACATGGCAGCTTCCATATCACAGCAGCTCGAGGATCTGTTAAATCCTTTACCAAGCTTCCTGGATCCCGAGGACGACCAAAATGAAGGTATATCAGTTTATTGAATGCGCTGTAAAGCGTTTTAGCGTTATTATAATAGAAAATCTGCACATCCAGTGTAAGCACGATGTGACTGCATGCCTGACTGTAACTTACTGAGAAACAGCTTTACTTCACACTCATTAAGACCAGTGAATCATGGCATTTAATATAAGTTACTAATACCCATGATTGTCATAATAGCAACAATGATGCATGTTCTTTTATTTTCAAACAATAGGCTATTTTCTGTTTTTTACTTGTATACTTTTTTAAGCTTCCACTAAAAGAATGCACCAGTGGTACAATACAATGGTACTTATATGTGTATGTTGTGTGCTGTGGTAGTACCATGTTATTCTTTGAAGTATGATGTAAATACTATAGTACAGGAGGATATGAATATGGCAGTCATTCAGTATATGATACGGTCACTGTACCATTATAATACTACCACGTTATGTAGAAGAATAATATTATGTATTAGAGCAAGGCCTGTTGATAATTACAGTATTGTTACAACAACTGTGAAAGTCATACATTTTATTCATTGTTTATGGTATAGACATTGTAATTGTCTGGTGATATGGTCAAAATCTTTATTATACATGCTGGTTTCATGTATAACATATGAATCATTGACTGTTGATATGATTACGTGATTGTATGACTGTAATTGCCCATGTGTACTTAGCATACCTAAACAGCTGCATAATTTTTGTGAACTGCAGAGACGAAAGCTAAAGTCATAGAGAAGTTTGATGAAGGTGGTGATGACGATGAACTTTTATCTGGCCATCTGCGGATGCGCTCTGCTGCAATTCTGGCTGATGGTGATCGTCGATATCGTGGCAAGGCAACAACCAGAAAAGATCTACAGAAAGAGTTGGATGGATCAGGTGAGGTGAAGTGTCTGATTGTTGAAAAACAATAATGACGAACCGGTTGAACAAAAAGGGTGATGTTTTGAAAACTGTACATTTTATACACTTTTCAAATAATCCGCTAACTAGTAACTTGCTTATAGCTGTCTGCATTAAGAATGAACTAACATCTATATGAACATTTTCAGCAGATGATGATGATGATGAAGAAAATGGAATGCTGGACAAGTACATGGAGTGCATCAAAGGTGATGATGAGGAGGAGGATGAAGACGACAATGATGACGAGGAAGATGATGAGGATGAAGAAGAACAAGGCGATGACGAGGAGGATCTCAATGGAGATGATAGCTCACACATGTCCAGCTTAGTCTCTAAAATGAAGGTCACAGACTTTATGAAACTCACAGAGGGAATGGATGATCTGGGAGATAATGATGAAGAAGAGGAATCAGCTGCCAGTGAAGGAGAGAGTGAAGAAGGCTCTGAGGAAGATGAAGAGGAGGAAACAGCCCTAAGGACCTTCTCTAAAGAGAAAGTTGATGAAGAGGTTGAAAAAGGGAAAGCAGTGAAAAATCAGCTCGGTATGGATATTTGCACACATTCACATATGTGCTCTACAATAAATAATTGAATAAATATCAAGAATACATTTATAGTTATCTATTAAAAGAAAATAGAAACTACCAAAAATCTGTATTTTACACTGTCAAATCTCCACAGCACTTTGGGACCTAATGCTTGAAAGACGAATCAAAATACAGAAAGCTCTTGTGATGGCCAATCAGCTTCCACAGCCACAGACATTCCCAGAGTTCAAGAGCAGGGGAGGGGCTGAATATGCTGAAGCTTTAAAAAATAGTAGGTGAATTTACCGTTTTACCCACCATTTAACAGTAAGTTAAAAAGAGTCATGTTTTTCTACTCATCCACTAATCCTAACTGAACCTTGGTAATTGCACATATCAATATGTGAGAATTTCACAGAACATGGGTCAGCTTTTAGCTACAACTTGTTATTTCCTGTTTTGATGTTTGTTATTATCTGTAGGAATGTTGTGTTCCAAAGTCACGTATAATTATTAATACTTTATATTTCCTACTTCTGACCATGAAGTTGCTCAGAGTTTGGAAGATGGTGTAAGTTGTGATCAATAAAGTCAAAGAATGACTATTAAAGTTTGGGGTCAGTCAGATATTTTTTAAAGACTTTTTATTGAGCAAAGATGCATTAAATGACATGCATTAAATGAAGACGCATCAAAAAATGATAGTAAAAACATGAAAAATGTTATATATAATTATATTTCAAATAAATGATGTTCTTTATCCACAAATGTATGACAGTTTCTACAAAAATAGTAAGCAGCACTTACTGTTTTCACCATTGGTTATATGAAAATGAGCATATTAAAATGACTTCTGAAGACACAGAAGACTAGAGTAATGGCGGCTGAAAATTCACAGTAAAAAAAAAATCAGTATTTTACTTCTTAAAATTTGTTACAACAGAAAAATTATTATAAATTGTAATATTTCACAATAATAATGTTTTTACTGTATTTTTGATTAAATAGATGCAGCCATTGTTTACATAGGAGACTTTAAAAAAAAAATCTTACCGACCCTAAACTTTTGAATGATAGTGTATATGCCAGTGTTCTCCTAAAGATGCCTCAAAAGTAGGGCTGCACGATATATCGTTTCAGCATCGATATCGTGATGTATGCATCCGCGATAGTCACATCGCAGGATGTGCGATGTTTAGTATAGGCTACTGATCGTTATAGTTATACTGATCG